CACTTTTCTACACTGAAAGGCTTTAACAAGATACCGCATAAAAAGCCTATAACACCTTCACACCTTCTTGCATTTCCTTATTCTGTCAGGAATAATTTCCCAAACAGGAAAAAAAAAAATCCATGATGTACATGTAGTGTATTTATTTTCATAAACAAATATATATTAATTCAGACTCTAGCACCAGAACAAATTTTTTAAAAATCAAATAATACTAATTCTTCTCCTTTGAACTCTTGAATCTTCCCACTTACCATAAAGAACACTCAGTAGCTTCCTTCAGAAAAAGCTGGGAAAAGAGTGTGTTGCAATAGTTGCAGGGTGTGTATGTGTGTGTGTGGCACAGATAAAAGTAGTTGTGTTTCTATTACTTATTTCCATTATGACAGAACTCACAAAGTGCTAGGCTCTCTCCAAACCAATGGCAAGAAACAGTTCCTGCCAAAACAACATGAAAGAAATGTTGTAAAGGTTGCATTATATTGCTTAAAAGTTAGGAAATATCAGAAGCTGGGGTGCCAGTACAACCTTAATTCAACCCTTCTGTGCATATTCATTATGATCCAGTCTTTAATTACATGATCACATACTCTTTTTCTTTATTTTCTCTCCCTAGGCCCTCTGCTTCATTTAAAGTATCAGATGGGCTGAATAAGGCAGTTGTTAAATGTTTACATTTATCTCCTTCAGCACCCTGCCGTTAAGTTATCGGTGAGTATCTTGCACTATTGACCAGGCAAACTGCCTCCTCCATGTCTGGAGCTGCAGAGGCAGGAGTAGACAGCTGGTACCTGGCCAGAGAAATTAAGAACCACTTTGCATATCCCAAAATGTACAGCTGCCGAAGAAGTTCAGAGCAAAATAGTAGATCAGTGAAACACGCTGGCATACTGGCAGGAAGCTAAGGCACACACCAGCAACAGGCTAAGGTACAGCCAGTTTCTCTGATGTTCTCCACTGAAGTCCTATCAAGGAAAGCTGACCTTCCCTGATCTCGTGAGCTGTATGCCAAAGTCTTCATCATTGCAAAGAGCCTGTGTACTTTAAAGATGAGGATCTTTGGGAGCATTTCATAGGCAAGAAATGGCAGCAGCTCCTTTCCTATCCCACCATAGCACTGAGATGGAGGCGGACTTGCCTAGACTGGGAAAACAAGATGGTTCTGTGCATCAGCAGCTCCTGTTACCTTGTTCCCTCCCACAGGTAGGGATGAGGTCCTGCTGGCAGGCATCTCGCAGAGCCTTGGCCTCGAAGTTACACTTGAACTGCTTGCTGGCTACACAGTAAGAACACCAAGGTAGTCCATTCCTCACTAGTAGACTGGATCTGTATGCACAGTCATTTACCCTTTCCACTGACAAGACCCTCTTTATACATGCTGTAACTGTTTAGAAGCGATAGGAACTATCAAAACTTCTTGACTGCTAAAGTGCTCTGAATTTATTGACTTTGCAGGAGATTTGAGGGAAACCCTTTGATGGTCTAGCAAGCTTTTTAAAATAAAAAGATAAAAAAAATCTTCTAAATTTCTTCCCCTCTTGCACAGTGTGGCATGAGGTGCATGCTGCCACATTATGTTCTTAAAAGTACAGTTCAAGGGGGACGATTCAAATCTGAACTGAATAGCCTTGCTGTCCGTAACAGTTACTGCTGTAGCAAGCTGAGAAGAGCTTTTTATACCTCGTGCTTTGGGGTGCTAATACATAAGACCACTTATCTACTTGGGATTTCCTAAAAGTCCTTCTGAGCATTTGATTCCATCTGGAACTAAGTAGGAGAGATGAGAAACTGGCCCAGATAAAGCTCAGGTCCAAGCAAAGGTGGCAAACATTATACTTTTTTGTTGAAGTATTTCCAGTAGTTATTTTGGTGTAATTGTGATGCTCTGAGAATAACATCGATTTTGCACAAGAGAAGTGGTATTTTCCAGTAGGATGATGGACCTTGTTGTGAAGGGGGAGAGAAGCATCTGCTGCTTTGAGGTTTGAAAGAGAACAGCAAATTCCAACCTGTGAACAGAGCAGAAATGGCAGCTCTGGATATATGTCACATTTGCTGTGGAAGCACTGAGAAGAAAGGACTGCCGGCACCTATGCAGCAGCAAGACAAGGGGCCAGGTTGGCAGCTTCTCCCTTTACAAGGGACAGAGGGACAGCTCATGATCACTAATGTAACATTCAGAGGTTTGTGGGGGGAAAATAGATGAGACTGTGCTCTAAAACCCACACCAACACTTTTAGCATGCAGTAAAGCTGTGAGTTTAAGCTCTCAGTATTATCTTTTGAAGGTGTTTTGCAGATCTCTCTTGTGTATACAGAGTCAAAGAGAGAGTCCCTTGAGACCGAGAAGCCAAGATAGACTAGATCCTGAGTGCAGAGAAAAGACCAAAAGCACTATTCAGGTACGTCTCAAACATCAGAAAAGCAAAAATGGTGTCCTTTCATCTTTTATTCAAATTATTTCACACGTGTATTTTTATATATTTCATTACTGAATTATTTTTACTGAAAAAAAACCCTTAGGATTTAATTGTGTGTTAATATTGTGCCTTTAATGGCCTGATTTCTGATCTTTGACTGGAAGAACTGTACATGTAAATATCAGACTGTATTTCATTTGCAGCTTTGCATAGGGGCAGGGCATATACCCTAGGGGAAGAATGAGTTTTCTATCAAAGTAGCTACACTTTGAGTTTTTAACAAAAAAAAAAAAAAAAAAAAAAAAAAAAAAGACTTCTTTCATCTCCCCTTTGGTTTTGCAAAAAGGGAGACACATGACATTGGGAGGCTTGAGGCTTTACACTCTCTTGGCTATCGCTAGCTGAATAACATACATCAGTCCTCCCGGCCACCCAGGGTTTTACCCCTTTCAAAGCAAGTGATAGAAAAGCTGGGATAATTGTACAGTCCCAAGGGAGAATATGTCGTTGAGCAGTGTGCATGAGGTGCATGGAAGATTAAAAGTTGTATTTCTGGGGTGTCCTCAAAGCACCAGGGCTGAGGTTTGGCCAGTGGCCTGCGAGACGACGCTTCTGCTGCTGACCTGCGGGCCCCTTGCTTTCCTTGCGCCCACGGACCTGGTGGCCCACCAGCTGCCCAGAAGCAGGGCTTCTGCTCTGCGTGGAGGACCCTACATGAAGACCCCGATGTGAACGTGGTCTTCAGGCTACGGCAGACAAATGTGAGGATGAAGCCATGCTCGGGACCGCCGGGGTGCTGGGTACAGGAGTGGTCCCACTGGGGCACCCCTGGGGCTCTGAGAGAAGGCAAACGGAGAAAAGCCACATCGCCTCCGGTGGCCACGGGGATAAATAAATACTGATCTTTGAGCACCCCCGCGGCAGCTGCCTTTACGTGGGGAGACATGTACGAGCATGTCCCCGCGCACAGCCACCGCCGGCGCC